TCTGTTGACTAGGAAAGGACTGGAACGAGAACGTCAGTTTCGGCGGGAAAAAGGAAACTTAAGATGCAGTCGACCGGTAGGTCGACGACGACGACACTGAATGTAAACAAACATGTAGACTGTGATGTTCGTTCGCAACAAAGTTTTTTCGCAAAGGCGTCTTTTAAGACCATGCAAGATCTTATTTTATAAGCCGTACGTCTACTTTCATTGACGATGAAGAATTTTTCGTGTTGTCTGACCTTTTCGAATGGAAAAATTTCTGCTTTCCGTACGAAGGTTATTAAACATTCAACCTGAATGACATGACCGAGTACGAGTGTCTGTCAGAGTTTAGATTTGGAAAAAGAGACATTCCGATGCGATGGCTGTTTTCCATATGAAGTTCATTCCTCTATATTAAAGATATATGATTTGCTTGACCTAAATACGTACAAATAAATTCGTCACTTACGAGTTCGCTCGCTCGGCCTGCACATCTCAGTGTTGTCTTCGAAGTAAACACAATCCATCAGTTGAATTTTCAATCAACATCGCTTGTTAGGAGAAAAAAGAAAGGATCATGCTGGATTTACGAGGTGAAAAAATACAAAGCCCTTAAAAAATCGCTTAAAAACAGGGAGTCATACCTGCCGAAGCTTGTGGATTGCAGGACGACGTGAGTCTACTGTGTTTGGCGTCGTCGAAGACACCACGACGACGAAATTTGTTAATCGCGCTTACGCAGTGCACTGTATCTCACTTACGGTCGTCGTCGACAAAGTGGTCGTCGTGGTTCTTAAGTTCCCTAATGAGTGGTACACGAAAACCCACGATACTTTTGTGCTACCTGGATACCAAGTAGACAAGTGGGAGAGCAAAGAAAAAAAGCACCTACAGTAGTTTCTAAGATAATGGTAATTTTCACACCAGCAGGCAGAAAAATCTTCTATACGGGTAAGTCGTCCACCCTTTTTATTCGCCAAGCATGAATTTACATCGGACGTTGGACGACTTGTCTGTCTATAGAAACAAATTGACCAGGGAAAATCAGTCATCTTTATAGACGAACAAATTGGATGACGTTGCACATTAGTTATAGACCCATCTACTTGTAAACAGGAAACACATCGAACTATACGTCGCCCTCCAGCTTGTATTGACCAAATTTACACTAGAGACGAATTATCCGTCCAGACGGATAATCCGTCTCAGAGGGATAATTCGTCTCTAGTATAAATTCCGTGCTAAGACGAATTATGGAGCAAAATTCGTCTGAGGCTGATTCATCTTAGACGGATTATCCGTCTCTAAATTCATATCTAGACGGAACGTAGACAGTTTTTTGACAAAGTTTCTACATGAGAGGGACTGGTTTCTATATTTTCGCAGTGTTTCCTGTTCGCAATGCATATTTCTTTCCCGCGGTCGTTTCTAGACAAATTATGGAGAAAAATTCGTCTTCGGGTTTATACTTAAACGAATTATTCGTCTGACGGATAATCCGTCTAGACGGATAACTCGTCTCTACTATAAATTCGGCCATTGAGGTGAATTCGATTCATTCTGATGTTTTTAACTGCTTAATTAAGCAGTTGTTCGAAGGCCGATTAGCGCTAACCCGAGGTTGCTCAAAAGCATTTTACCGGATGACTCTCTCCATTCTTTTTAGAGCATCAAATCATCAAATTGTAGACAAAAGAATTAAATTGAATTTGCTTTTAAGCTTTCACATCTCAGTTCAAACTTCGCACTAAACCTGAATTATCTTAACCCAGATTTGAACAGACTGTTCACCGTCCTCTATTTTCTGTGAGATCGTCAAGAGCGATCGCTTTGAGTTGCGGGCTGCCATCTTGCATGAGTGTCAAAACTACTTAGGGGGCGGGGGGGGCGGTTTGGGAGGAAGCGAAAAAAATGGAGGGACGGTAATAACATCATTGCAGCTCGCGTTCAGAAGGCGTGACAGGAATTTCAGACCTTTTACCATTCATTAATTAAGAAACTCCACTGGCGATGAAAAACATGCCAGTCACATTTAGCATCGATTTTGCGTGTTTACAAATACCTCCTTTCGAAATAGTGATTTTATACAGTTTCTGGGATATTTCTCCACATAAAATCGGCAAACATGCACAGGTGAAACATTTTCCTTGCATTCTGATTGCTTACATTTCTTTCAATTTGATCTTCAACTTGAAGAGGCTCAAATCCGTTACGGGTTTGAATTATATTAGCGGGCATTGTTTTCTGGCTATGTTTTGCATTTGTACTTCTCGGGTGCGGCTTTGCTACGGACCAACGATCACTTGATTGTAGTTGATTGTTTTCAACTTCACTCTTTTCTCGCGTAATGATTGTTAGTGCTAACTTTAAAGAATCATTTTCTTGCTCTAATGACAGAACTCGGCTTTCAAGGAGCAAACATTTTTCTTCCAACTCATTAATTGCATTGTCTTTTTTAGATATAGTGGATAATAACTTTTCACACTTCTTTTTGTAGTCGAGGAGCTCGACACCTAAAGCATTTCCATCTTGTTTTTGAATATTTTCCATCGACAGAAGCTTTGTATTTCCTTGAACGTGCTTCTGAAGGATCAATAAATCGAGTTTCAATCCCTCAATATCGGCAGCGATGGAGCTTTAAAGACTTCGGTATGTCAATCGTTGAGATCTTTTTGAAGACAAATTTCTTCAACATGCTATTCTTCTTGTAGAGACCTCTTAGAAATAGCAGTGGAATTCTGCTCGGTTCACGAGCACGTCTAGATCGCCTTGTAGCACGTTTTTTAAGATGATATAAAGTTAGCTTTGATAAGTGTTCGCTTTGATTCTCGATAAATTTCACGATGGAAGGTTCACTCAATGTAGATACAGTAGATAGCTTTGATAAGTCGCTTTTATTCTCGATAAGTTTCACGATACGATGGAACGTTCACTCTTAAGTGATCGCTCGTGAATTTGTCTCTCAAAATATTTACTCTTAAATTTCCGCTCATAAACTAGTGCATCGTAAAGGTTGGGGAACGTGTCGTTCCACAAAAAGCTATAATCTTTCTCTTGACTGTCCTCCATACCTCGTGGTATAAGATTTCAATGTGCCAGCCATATATCTTAGTCAGCGATATATCCCTAACAATGTAACGTTGAAAAAACGACAGAAACCGTCTGCATTTTAAGACCGGTGCCAGCCTTCGGCTGGGCCCCGGTAATTAGTATAAAAGGTAACGAAGGGGAGACATCCTAGATGCTCTTCCGTTTCTTCCTGTTTTTTTTTTTTTCACGATGTTTTCGCTCTTATTATATTTTTTTTCTGTAGCATCTGTCACAGAGTCAACAAGTTTATACATTTCCCGGGCCGCTGGAAACGACACATGGTCATGTGATCAATGGAAACCTTGTAAAACCATTTCACGGGCTGTCAAGTTGGCAACAAGTGGGGATCAAATTCTCTTAGATGGCACTGACACTGATAAAGACCCCTATAACTGTTTGTCGGGAGAGTCACAGTATCCGGGAATATACATTAACGAGAGTCTGTCTCTGATTGGTTCTGCTTATCCCATGCCTCAGATACGATGCACAGAAGGAACAGGTTTCATATTTAACGGTTCTGATAGTGCGGAGCAAATGAATATAACTATATCAGGACTTATTTTGCACTTACCCTTTCTCAGGATCCAAGATTCATCCCTTAATATCGATGGTTTTAGATTCGAAGACAGCAGCCGGGGTATAGAGATAGCTGTTTCTGCTATGAATGTTATAAACATTCAGATTACAAGGTCAACCTTTTCAAGGAGCAATAACTGCATCTCTGTTGTCGTCAACAGTCGAAGTAGTTCATCTCACAACACTCAAGTAATGTTTAAGCTGACAAATTCGTCTTTTGATGGGAACGTCTTGAGAAATGAAGGAAAAGCTCTATCATTTGTTGAAATGCCTTCGAATAATCAGTCTGTAACAAGTTACGTCGACGTCATCCTGGAAAACGTAAGATTTTTTCAAAACAAGTTTGATTCTAAAGGTCTTATTTGGGTCGATACGAGAAAAGCCAGCCAGCTTATTACACTTCAGAATGTCACATCTATAGACAACAATCCATTCACAGACCAAGATTTCTTTGTGGGCGGTTATAGCGAAAGCATTGTTAATGGCAGCGACGTAACCCTCTTAATCAACTCGAGCAACTTTAAAGGTCAGCATGCACGGTCATTTAGTGTAACTGCATTTAAAATTTCAGTAGAGATCTATAACTCCAAATTTGACGGGCACAGGGTTCACGGAAGCGGCGGAGTTATATCTGTGAGGGGAACTAATCTTGAGACGTTTAAGGTGTATAATTCAATTTTTGTAAATACGACGGCTGATCAAGGTGGGGCGGTTAACATCGAATGTTCTTCTGTTTATAAAGCCAGCTTTAAAGATAGCACTTTTATCAACAACACAGCAAGGAATGGAGAAGGTGGAGCACTTTTTATTTGCTCATCAGGGTCATCCTACAAGACTTTTCAAGGCTCAACTGACGATAGCGATAACGTAGAATGCAGCATTCAAAAAGACACGTTACTTCAAGTGACTGTTACCAAATGTGATTTCCTCAACGCTAACAGTTCCGTTGGGGGAGGCGGGTTACAAATCAGGGCTGCGAGGGCTTTAATAAGACTGCGTCACTGCGTTTATTAACTGTTCTAGTAATCCATCAAGTTTTCGAGGAGAAGGAACTTTACTAGACACAAATTTCGCGTCATTCACAAAAAGAAAGCCACGATATGATTTCGGGGAAGCTTGTAGAGGAGCAGAAAAAGGCGGTGTTGAGGCGCCTGTGGGCTCCTTGACTGTTTTTGTAGAGACGCAAATAGACATTAATATCATCAACAGCAGTTTTATTTCCAACAGTGGGGGTGCTGTTGCTTTACATTCCTCTCCCGTGAGTTCGATGAAAAACAAAAACGTAATCAAAGTAAGGGATTCAGTCTTCTCGGATAATCACAACAGTGGAACAGCTCCCATTGTCATAA